TGGGTGGATAGCGTATGGCTCGACACCGTTGATGGACATCGTGGGTGGCCTGCGTCTCGCAGCGGTCGCAACGGCCTTGAGGTCCAGACAGATTGAGATCACGAGAGGAAAGCCAGACAACGAGCAGGCAACGACCCACTACAGGAGTTTAGTCTAGCCAGTCAGCACAATACTACTAACGCGATGCCGAGATCCAATTACGAGCTTTTTAACTGGAGCAACTTTAATATACGCTATTAGAGCTGGAGTTACCGCAGCTGCTGGCAGCTAACTTACCCTCCAGTTGATCCTCGTTAAGGGCAGGAAATAATGGCCTGGCATTCTTTTGTGACGGAGACGTCTTGGGATTATGCTGTACAGTAAATAATAGTACATTTGCCTCAATAGTACAAATCTCCTCTTTTGTACTCGAAAACACATTTAAGAATTTTAGACAGTATTTCTTGAGATGGGAAATGTACTATAGGTGTCTCAGTCGACAAAACAGTCCAAGTACGAAGAAAGAAAGCTTGTCCGTGAGAATCAAAGAAGAATTTGGATTGTCTGTCGATCGCACTAGGGCTTTTGTTATGTTAGTACTTGGCATCCATCCAAGGCTATTTTAAAACCCGAAGGAAGACGATCCTGCATAACACCGGCGGTAACCCGGTGTTTGTTTGAGCTAGCGCAGACGGCTTTCAGTTTGATAAAAAAAAATCCCTCCAGAGGCGACAATGTCTGCTGTTGAAATTAGGTCAAACAGTTGAAACAGTCGACGGATTTAGAATAGCAAAGGCATCGTTTTTGATGAGGTCAGACTGTGTGAGGTAGGCAACTCGAACAGCTAGAGACAGACTGTGCAAAGTAATTGAGTTTCCTTCCGTGCGGACTATCAAGTTTAGCGCATTTTCGGTTTAACCGGCTGCATAGCCAGGCACTTGGGGCACATCTTAACACAAAGTCTACCAAAGTGAAAGTATGGCGTACCCCTGTTGGTTATAAGAGCCGCCTGTTCACTACAATTTGATCTAACAAATTTTGACCTCAGGATACTAGTGTCAAAAGTAAATGAGGAAAAAGAGAACCGCTAACATGTCCTATGTCTAATTTCTCCTCCTCGCTCTCCTTCTAGTTCTCTTCTGCTTTCTTCTCCTCCGCTTCCCCTCCTTCCCCCTATGCATCCTTCCCTCCTGCTCCTCGTTCCTCTGCCCCTCCTCCTCCTCGTCCTCGTCCTCCTCCTCCCCCTCCCCCTCCCCCTCCTCATCCGCCTTCTCCTTTTACTCTTTCGCCTCTTCCTCCTCGCTTACATGAACCCCTCCTCCTCCGCCTCCTTCCCTTCTTCCTCTATTTTTTTTCTTCTTCTTCTTTTCCTTCCTCCTTCACGTCTTTTCGTCCTTCTCCTCTTCGTCCTCGCCTTCCCGAACCTCCTGTTCCTGCTCCTGCCTCCCTTCCTCCTCTTCCTCCCCCTACTAATATATGCCTGTTTTATTCTATACCGCACGTTTTGACCATCGATAGTATAGAGCGGCGTCTAGATGAAAATCCTATTGATATTCCAAAACAACACGTGG